TGTAAAAATAAGACAAATAAAAGGAGTAGAGATGTTAAACGGGCTAGCCCTAGCGGGCTTCGGGCTAAGCGGTCCGAGCCTAAAAAGCCAGGATTTAAACGGACTACCAATAAAATGACCTAACCCTAAACCTAGTGGGCTTCGGGCTAAACGGGTTATACGGGCTATAATAATAATAATAATAATAATAATAATAATAATAATAATAATAATAATAAATTACAACACCTAGTTAACGATTTTTTTCAACGGCTATTTAGTATTTACCATTATATATATACAACTACACTACATATATGAACACACATTACAAACTCTTAAATAATATATTGTTTCTCAATAGAAAAAAAAAATATTTGTACTATTACTTATAACTACCATTTGACTAGTTATTTAGTACGCTTCGGGAAATTTCATAATATAGCATACTGCTGAATTTATATTCTATCACTATATTCTATGTATTAGGTCTTTGTCTCATTTTTTTTTTATTAACCGTTTTGATTGACTTAAATATTTTGCTGTAAAATAGAATAAATTGTTAATAATTATCTATCAAAATAATAATAATACATTATAACTCCTATTTATATGTGAAGTAGAATAGTAAAATTGTAATATACAATGAATCATGAGACATATTCCTTATCTTTCTAAAAACATATACACCACCCAACCCAAATTAAGCGGGCTAGCCCTAACGATTTTCGGGCTAAATGGTCCGGCCTAAAAAGCCCGAATTTAAACCGGCTACCAATAAAAGGCCCTAACCGTGTTTCTTTCCGGGCTAAACGGATCTGTCCGTCGGGCCAAGGACTATTTAACATATCCGGAAAGGAGGGACTAAACGTAAAAAATAAAAATATATGGAAAGCAAATTTTGCGTCCAGCAGAAGATGAGAGAGAAGAGAGAAACCCAAATTGCCGACGGCAAAAAATGGGATTTGGCGTTCGATTGGAGAAGGTATAAACACGGTTTAGTCGATGCCACCCGCGAGGGTGGCACCCGTTTTTACTGTGACCCAATAGAAGCGCGCCGCGTGGCAATGAGAATTTCAGCCTTTTTTTTAAAAAAAATTTTTTTTGCCTTTTCCAGCTTTTATATTTCAGTTTTTTTTATTTACTAATAACCATGGTTTGGAACCGTGGTTATACTAAACCAACAAAAGGATTCAAAATCGCACAAAAATTTCATAAACCAACAGAAAGAGAAAACGGGACGAAAATTCATCTTCTTCAAGAGAGAAAAATCCGATTTCGAGTCGGTGGCCGACGATGGCCTGGCGCAGCTCGCAGGCATTCGATTTTAAACTGATGGGGGCCGATTCCAAGTTTCGCAGCTCGCATTCAAACACTTCAGAGCCAAAGGGAAGGATTGGAGCAACAAAAAAAATCGGTTGTGGAAGATGGTGGATTGTCGAGTTCACAGGTAAAAACTGCATATGAATTGCCCTTTTGTTAATTTTACTTGTGCGTGAATTGGGGTTTCTGATTTTAGAGTCTTGTTTTGTAATTTCATTTTATTTTTTGTCTGAGGTTCTATTTTGTAAGAAATTGACCCGATTTCTTTGCATTGATTTTGTTCTATTTTGTCTATTTGTCTGAGGTTTTTTTGTTCTGTTTTGCTAATTAGTAGAATAATGCTATATAATGCTTTGCTTGGGAATCTCAGTAGCTAGAATGCTTTTCCTAGTATATGAAAAACTGAAAATGATTTGAAGAGAAACAATATAAATCAGTGTGCATTGAGAGTTGGTTTTAAGTTTGATAATTTAATAGTATAGTATTAAATTATTAACCCTTATTTATATGAGCTTTTATGATTTCTTATTACATCTGTGTATGTGATTTGTCATTACATTTGTTATACATGTAATTTGTAATTACATCTGTGTATGTGAGTGTGTATGCGAGAGATTATGAGATTATGATGACTGTAATATTTGGCCCAAGTTCTTTGATCATGTCTGGTTCCAGGAATCACAACAACTCATCAGATTTAGCCGAATTACAAAAAACTGCAAAACCTTCAGTGAAATGATTAAAACTACAATTATTTTTGTGGTGCTGTTTTAAAGATTGAATCTTTATCCCTATTGGAAACTGCTACTTGTGTAATAATTCATTTTAGTGATTTATAACTCCTGCATTGTTGTTCAAAAATTACTTATGCTTGGTTTTGACTCAAGATTTGATTAAGCTGAAACTGAGAATACTTTGGTGGCTCACTTGTGTTGTTCACTTATCTGCATTTGCATTTAGTGTACCAGGATTGCTTGACATACATAAAAAGCATTTTGTACTATGTTATTCATAACTCTTTAGCTATGCACGTCAATGACGTCGGGCATGTTAAGAAATCGTTGCATGTCGGTTGTACGTGGATCATTAATGTTTTATCGGTATATACCGTTACAATCTTATGTTCGTTATTTGGCCAAAGTTTAGTAACTTGTGAACACTTGATGTTGATTTTCCTAATCTATGTGTACGTGCTATTCATTCGAATAGTTGTATAGGAAATCTGGACCACATTTACTTTTGGAGTTCTCCCTGTAAAATCTTTCATGTGATTGCAGTCATTGAAAATTTGTCCCTTAGTATTTTCTTTACACGTTTCTGTTAGCCATATCGGATGAGCTTAGCAGGTATAATTGAATTTCAAATGTATGCTTACGTACGGCAATTAGCTAATAAATGTTTTCTACCGGTTCTTTTGAGATAACGGTAAAATGTGAAGCCATTAGTCCATTGTTGTGTCTTGCTGTGTCTCATTTCCTTTTTCTATGAAGCCACGGTCATTGCCCCTCGTTGGGTATCTATGCCTAAGTTGAACCCAAAAAATGAATTACTTATTTATTCAAATATCAAACACTGCGATTTTTTCTTGACTTGTTGCTTGTTCTATTGCTTGAATTTGGGTTTGGGTATCGAGCTGTTGCTTGAATAATAACATTCTATTTTTTTATTTTTTTTTTGAAAGTTTAAAAATTTCAGACTTCAACCACTAAGAAATTTGGAAGACAAAGTAGACTGAAGTATGAAAGATAAAATATGTGACCAATGTGGAATCAAACTAATTGCAGTGAAGATTGTTGGCCTCCGAAGTCCAAATTTTCAGAAACTATTACTTTTGTAATAGAGATGGATTTATTGGTTGGACTAATCCAATAAATGAAGACGCAGTAAGCATAAGGGAAGAAGTTAGCATAAGCGAGAAAACTAAAGTGGATCGTGAGAGCTACAAAGATGTGAAAAAAAAAAAATTGATAAGATTTTTGATTTGTTACTTGTGTTATTTGTAGTAGTAATTATAATGCTTGTTATTATTGTAATAAAATAAAAGAATTGGTATTTTTACTACTGGACATGAATAATTAACTTGTAATATGACAAAAATGAATGGGTATTTTTATTACTCTATTTTGATTGTCAAGATTCTTTTAACATGTTCTAACATAAGGTTATGAATATGGTCAATTTGAGGTTGATAAATTTATGTACACGTATGCCCGCTAATATATTTTCGCTATCCGCAAGTGTACGACATAGCTGTAGGTATGTAGTCGCGAGTTAGATCGTATTCCACAGAGATTATAGCGACGAGCTAACTCGTTGATCCACAACTTTATGAGAATACTTATTTCATGTTCATCGAAGATTTTAGCAATAGTTGGCAATAAATTCCAAATAAAATCATTGTTCCACAATAATGCTTCACAACAAAAAATATGTAATGCCATACTACCAAAAGTTCATATAGCTCCAAATAGAATCCACAAGAACAATACACAAAATGAATGTCCCTAACAACACTATTACACCACAATAAAGAGTCAATCTAAAGTTGTTCTTGAACCTCATAATTTGGTGTTGAAGAAAATCCAATAAGTTGTTCTTGAAGCTCTTCACCATGATCCTCAAAGTCTTCACATTGCGCCGCAAGATAATGGTCCATCAATTCAATAATACCTACATAAATAAAAAAAATAAAAGAATTAATCAACAAAAGAAAGAATTAATTAGATACAGAAATTAGTATTTAAGTTTCTTGTCGCTATTCCTTCTTTTGTGAATTTGATCCACTTGTAATCTCTTTAATTTATGTATCATGTACTTCAAACCGGTCACACTAATTATGTTCAGAATTTTAGCTTAACAGATGTAGTTACAAATTACATGTATAACAGATGTAAGGACAAATCACATACACAGATGTAATCGGAAATCACAAAAGTTACATTCATTTAAATAAGGGTTTAATAATTTAATACTATTAAATTATCAAATTTAAAGCTAACTTTCAATGCACATTGATTTATATTGTTTATGTTCAAATCAGTCATTTTTTCATATACCAGGCAAAACATTCTAGCTACTGAGATTCCCAAGCAAAGCATTATATAGCATTATTCTACTAATTAGCAAAACAGAACAAAAAAAAACATCACAAAACAGAACAAAATAAATGCAAAGAAATCTGGTCAATTTCTTACAAAATAGAACCTCAGACAAAGAAATCACAAAACAGAACCTGAGATAATTCGAGCTACACCAAATTAATGCACCCGCATATGCAAAATCGCAAAAATAATAAAAAAAAACAAATCTAGAATGCAGCAAAAAAAGTGAAGATTTCGAATCTGAAAACACCCGGTCGTCCGAGGTTCTGTACCTGTGAATCGGGCGTGAATGCAGCAATCGTCAAGTTTGTAACAATCTGGAATTTTCGGGCGATGCAGCAAAAAAAGGCGATGATGCTGATGAAAAAAATGCAGCAAATCGGGTGAGAAAGTCGTGAATATTTTTTTAGGTCTCTCAAATTTTCGAGTTCGAAATTTGAATGAATATTTTTTGAGGTCTCTCAAATTTTCGAAATTTCACATTCGAAATTCAGATCTGAATCTGATATTTTTTACACCTAATAAGTTTGTAACCATGGTTAATGTAAATGAATATAAAAAATAAAAGTTGAAATAGAGTGCCTTNAAACCCTTTTTTCCATTTCTTTTTCTAATTTTATATATCTGCGATTGTTTGTGTGATTTTACAGTGCCAGTATGCCACGGAGACAAAAGTCCCAGCCAGAGGCAGCGCGCTTATACAGACGGATATCAGCATCTAGGCCCGTGTTGGTAAAATTCAGCTCTTATTTTTTATATATTTTTATTATTTTCTTTTCCTGATGGGTTAATTGCAATTTTTAGTTTGTTACTGTAGGAGTATTTATGTTTGCCAGAAGGTTTAAATGCTCCAAAGTTTTGTGAAGGTCTTGAGTTTAGTCATTTGGTGGCCTGAACATTTTGTTACAGCAATTAACATCTCTACATTTCCGTCTTGAATTGGTGTGCACAACATATTTTCTTGTGTGGAAACTCGTATCGTGATCATCAACCCAGTCAATGATCTTATTTGATGGTTTCGAAACTATTTTTTGTCAATTATGATTTTTGCGAGCCTAGATTGCCAATCCCCAGTGAGGATAATTGAACTTAGACTTCTTCTTGATGACCAACTTCTTGGTCTAAATGGGTTAATTCTAGTCTAGATGAATGAATTGTATGCTTTTTGTCATCAAATTTTGAATTTGTGCAGTCCCACATTCCGGGCTCCAATTGTATGTGTGTGTTGTGTGTATGTGTGTGTGTGTGTGTGTGTGTGTGGTTGTGATCACGTTTTCAAGGTTTTGAATGTCTTATGATGCATTTGAGATGTTGAGATATCCCTAGTAAAGTAACAATCAGTTTGTGGTTGCTAGGAGGGACAAACAGGGTTTGCATGTAGCTGTAGGACGATTTGGGGCTAAGTGAAAATGTCTAAAAGTCCATGTGCATCATTTTGAGAATTTTGATAATCTCTTGGTATTTATTTGTTGTATTTTAAAATGCTGTCCATATGTCTTGCTGCCCACCATCTGTCCGGTTGTACTGTTTTGACCCTCGTACCTTTGTCATCTGTAATTTTTGTTTTCATAAATATTGTAGCTCGGTCTCTTTTGTGTATTTATCTATCTTATATGAAACTTTATGTTCAAAATACGATAAGTGCACAGGGCTGGTTCGTGTCACTGTACACTGTGTTTCTGTTTACGCGATATTTTCATTTACCTAACATCATGTTCTGTTTCACATATTCTTAGGAACAAGAATTGCCTCTATGTATTTTGTATAAAATGTTATGCTCAAAATTCAAACACCGTGCTTAGCTGTTTTCTGTCAAATTAGCAGAAGCACTGCTGCTAATTTATGAATCATTTTCCATCCTATTAACTTGTTCGTAAGTATATAATGTCTTCATAAGAGTTGTATCTATATACCTTGTCAACTCATAAGTTCCAGAATCACTCAAATATGCATTCTCTAGAAAAAGTTATGTTTGTTATACCGTGACTGTGCATATGTGAATGCTCAGTTTTTCAGCAGCAGGGAAGTTCTGTTTGGAAGCGGTTTTCATCCTTTGAAACTTGTCTGTGCTTTCTGCAAAATGAAATAAATTTTGGGGTATTTTTTTTATTTAAATAGACGATTTCAGCCTTCAGATACTAATATTAGTAGTATATTACCACTAGACATATGGGGTATTTAAGTAAATAGATAGTCGGGTGGCTTGTCGAGCTTACTAGCTTATTGACAAGATGCTCGAGATCGAGTCGAGCATTGACTCGATCTCTTGCTAGTGGCTCACGAGTTGTTTGTAGCTCTATTGCTAACCTTCCTAATGGTGCTTAGATGACGTGGGTAAAAATGATACTATAGAAGTGAAAAATCAGTTCCTTTTTCATTAGTTTAGCCGAACTATGATACTTGGGCGTGTTCTGCTTCAATAAATTAAATTAAGAAACTATATAATTTAGAAGGGAAACAAGATAACACATAGATACAGTGAACCCTATGAATCCATGAGTACAGTTTCTTTTCATTAGGTAACACGAGATTTCTTGCTAAGAGTTTATTGACATGCACTCTAAACCAATTTCTTTTTCTACTCATCCACATTGTCATGCTGTTGTAGCACTTAATATGATGTGAAATGCCTTATGAAGCACCAGTATCTCCGAATGTTCATCTTTGGCCTTCCACGATTTGCTATGTTACCATTGTTCTGAACAATCCACGATCGAGATGACTGAATCTTTTCTTGAATAAATTATATTTTTCTTATGTGGATGTTGATTATTTGTTTGATAAAATGCCAAGACTATGAAAAGAACCACTTTTGCGGCTTGTGGTGAAATTTTTCATGTTAATGCTTTTCTTATGGATCCTTTCACATTTTATTGAGTTCTAAAACATAAAATGTGGGAGTCAGGGTATTGTTTATATCTGCTCTATGGTTATCTATTCTCCCACGGTGTGTAAATATTTCAAACAAGTTGTCCTCTTTATGTGTGATAACTTTCTTTATACCCTGTTGCCATTTTCAATGAAACATCTGTTCTTTTACTTTTTTTTTTTTCCCAGTGAAGCAGAATATGTCGCGAATTTGGAAACAGAAAACAGCCGAAGCAAAAGCGCTTGCCGAACCTCTGTCCTCCACAATCACACAACTTAAAACCTCCTTAACCGAGTCAAATTCCCAAGGTCTGCTCTCAGGCTGTAGTGTGCTCTTTGCAGCAAGGCCAGACCAAACCGAACTTCTCAACCGAACATGCTTCGGCCGGCCCATTATTCCTGCAGAAAAGGATAAGCAGTGGTTCCAACTGAGTCTTGAAGAAGCACTCTACTTGAGCTCCATTGTGAAATGCATGAAGCTCGTGGGAGAAAATAAATCCGCCAAAAGCGAAGAAGAATTATGGTGTCACATAATGTCCAAGAGTTCTAATTTTCCGGTTATGTTCAAAGCATATTCCCATCTCCGAATGAAAAATTGGGTGGTCAAATCGGGGTCCTTGTACGGAGTTGACTTTGTTGCGTACCGGCACCATCCATCCCTGGTTCACGCTGAGTATGCGGTTATTGTTTTGTCGGATGAGGGTGAAAGTAAAAACGGGCGGTTAAATTCTTGGTCCGATTTTCACTGCACCCTTCGGCTGTGTGGTGGGGTGGCAAAAACTTTGCTGGTGCTGCATGTGAGGAGAATGAATGGTAATGGCAGGATTTGTGTGTCGAGTTTGGATGATTATAATGTGGAGGAGAGAATTGTGAGTAGGTGGAATGCGGAGAAAAGCCGTGAGGGTCCAACGGTACTGGAGAAGGAAGGTTGTGAATCATTAAGGAGGAATTAATTTGATTTTTTTACAGTACTTGGACTTTGTTTTCTTAGTTTTTGGAATTAATTTCCTTTTTTTTCTTGGAAATGCTCCAAGACTGATTTTGCTTGTTTCTTTGGCAGCACTATATGGAAATGTATGTTCAGAGTCTTCATCCGTTGTATTTGGTACAAGATGATACTATTTGGTTGGTTCCACGCGGTATTTTGATGATGGCTTATTATCATCTTAAGTTTGTTAAGGTGGTCATTGCTCATCAGAAATTTCCATTGTATTCGCAACATGGGCCAGACAGCCTTGGGCATATTTTTCCTAGGCCCGACAAGGAGCGGGTCTAAACGGACCAACTCGCGAGTTGGCTTGCCTATTTTTTTTAAAAAATATATATAATAATAGACGGCCAGAACAGAAGAAGAACTCTCGTACTCTCAATAGTCATCTTCTTCATCACCTCCGCTTCAAAAGTCTTTTGTGTCTGAAAATTGAAATATTCTAACAGAAGTATAATATATATAGAAGTGCGCTCAAATGAGAATTGAAACACAATGAAAGACAAAAAAATAAATCTGTGTCATTGGAAGCATCAAGATAAAGTCAAACGTAAGTAATTAAAGTCAAACTTACATTGATAATTTTATAACTAAATGGTCGATTGGTCAATAATATACTGAGGAGGGTAGTGTTGTGATTTCTACCACCCTACCAACTCTAATATTTATCTCGCATTCAAACACACACAAAAACATACACTACACGCGCGCGTACACATAGACACAAACACAGGAGAACAGCCCGCCACCGGCCTTCGTCGTGCCTCTGCCGCCAGCCGCCAACCGCGACGCAGGAGACTCCGGCCTTGCCTCCGTCAACCGCTGCCAACCGTGACATAAGAGACTTCAGTCGTGCCTCTGTCATGCCTCGGCAACTAGTCTCGTCGGCGTCCTCCATCCGACATCCTCAGCGTCAATCGACGCTCGCCTCATCAAGCTCACCTGCGGCGGCCGCTCCCACATCCTCTTCCGCAGGAGGCGCCAGTCAGGCGGCCTAGTGGCTCCTGCCATACTGATAAGGAAACTCGGAGACGAGCCTAGGTCACCATAGTACATGTTGGCGCCGCCCTGGATGATTGGGGCATTTTAGGGTTTACGCGATTTGGGGCTTATCGGTCCACGTCGCGGCGGCGGGGATGGTGGCGGTGGGGGCGGCCTAACTACGACTTCGATAGTTGGGTGTTGTCGGCGGCGAGTTGGGTCTGAAAATGAATGACGGGAAGGTGTTTTGGGGTTGGGGCCTTGTTTTGGAAAATTAGATAGGTTTAGGGGACTAACTTATAATTTCTGAACTTTTAATGTATGTATATTTTAATATTTGAGGCCAATCTATAATTCAATGAAAGATTATTTCATGCACAATAATGATAAGATGCATAATATGGTGTGTAGATGTGCACTTAAAAAAATAAATTGTCATATTTATACAAAATTATCAAAATATTTATTAAATGGCAATTTCTTTTATAAGCGAATTGCACAATTTTTTTTTGTAGATATGCACTTTAAATTAAATTAAAACAGATAATCGAATCGAAAGATAAAAGTTTAAATAAAAATTTTTGGTTCTCTCGGTTTTTGTCCCTATTGTGCAATCTGATAGTCATTAATGTGTAATTCGTCTAACACTATTATGCACTCACATATATTTTTTAATTATTTGTCCCAACACAAACTAAAACCGAACCGAAATAATCGGTTTATTCGATCGGTTAACTGAACTAACCTAAATAATCTAAATGATTTATTATTCATACTATAAATATATATTTAGTATTTTAACATTTATATTTAATATCATATATATATATATATATATATATTTGTTAAAAAGAGATCATAATAAAATGTCAAAATCAATATTGTGCATTCCAACATACAATAATGTGCATTTCGTTTGATATTATTATGCATACTATTGATCGGTTTTTTATGTGCATTTTAATTTTACCAACATGTATAATGTGTTTTCAAACAAAATTATTTTGCATTTATCAAATTATTCATAAAATAAAAATATATTTAATAATTTTAATTTTTTATTTAATCTCGAATGTATTAATGTGCATTTGGTTTAACATAATAATGCAGTCTTACAGTCAATAACGTGCATAATGTTAATATTATTGTTCATTGAGTCTGAGTTTTAAAATAATGTTTTTATATATTTTTTATACATTGTAGATTTGACCTATGGGTCAAATTGAAATATAATAAAAAATCTTAAAATTGTAGATTGATCCTTTTACATCATCTGATTTTCAAATAGATGCCTATAATATGATTCTCGTCTACTGTCCGCCATAGCCTCAACCACAACTGCTCTCTGATCATCGTTCTACTCGCCATCGTCTCGTCGTCAATCGGAGTTTTGAACGGCAATTTTTTTTGTTTAAGCTCCAAATCGCCGGAGAGCTCGAATCACCATCCAAATACGAACAAACTCGAATCACCAACCTTATCGCTTATGGCGGCGGCCAATGTCTCCTCGACCAGGTCAGCTAAGTTACCTCGAAATGAGTTCTATGTTAAACTATTATTCAATTAATACTTGAAAGGGAGTTAGTTAATTAATATTTTATCAAACATTGAAATCTTATAAACAGTACAAAAGTACATTTCTATATCATTAAAAAATAAATAAATAAGTAAGTAATAGTAAATAATATTTTATCTTATGTTATTATATTAGTTGTAGACAAATAAATAAGATATTTTGATAACAACGTCATTATATAAATTGCATACAAAAAGTGATGCAATGCATATAAATATGTTCTAATTCTTTCAATAAATAAATATTATTTTTTAATAGAATAAGAAACAAATAAAAGAATAGTAATTAAATAGGAAAAAAAAGTCTGAATTTTCTTAGAGTACTAATAAAAGTCTTTTAAAATTACTACTATTTTGTTGTTAGCATTTAAATATATGGAGTTTGTAAGAAGTTGGTTCTCATAAATAATGACCCTATATTATCAACTCTTAATTTTAAATAATTAAAAATTATAAATTCTGTAATACATAATGTAGATTTTAATAATGACTTTGTAATAATAAAGTTTACAGATGATTAAGAGTATCATAATATAATAGAATTCTAATTCTTATACTCTCAATTAATATGACAAATGATATGTTTTTCAATATTGTCTCATTATTTTGTTTGTTTTGTTTGGTTTAGTTTTATATTGTATTTTCATTGTTAAAGAATCAAGAAATGATCTTTATCTTGAATTTTTTAAGCATTATATATAACACAAAAAGTTAGACAATAAAAGCATTAAAAAACTTATTAGGCACATAAATATTACTAATCCGAATGGTATGTGAAAGAAATCATATATGATAAACAAGTCTAAAATCATTGGAACAACCAAGATGATCAATGATTTGAAAACCATAAATAATGTAGTTCGTTTATCTTCTAAGTAAATAACATTGAAAAAAGAATATCGAAGCCTGATCAAAATATTTTTCAATTTTGAATGAAGTTGACACTTTTTTATAGGAATATCTATAATCTCATTGGTGTATTGTACTCAATCATATGTATAATTATTTTAGACTACGTACATTCATGTAATGTGTGGTAATATTATATATAATTTAGCGCATCGGAAAAAGTATATGTAACCATGTTTTTGGAATGTCAACATTTATTTAGAGATGACACCCACACCATGGGGTGATGTCTCAATTGGGTAGATGCCAATTTGTCTATATGGAGAGAGAAAGAGAGTAATGTAGTAGCTTATACAATGATAAAATACTATCAACAATTTTAATGATACAATTAGTAATTTCACAGAGATATTCATGAATTGTTGGTAAAAATACCTTATAAAGATCATACAATCATGAAGTTTAACTATATGTTTAGTCAGAATATTTCTTAATGCTTGAATAAAGTAGACGTTTTGTTTTTTTTTTCCCGAAACGGCAGATATAACTATTAAATAAAACACAAGGTGTACAATATTCGAATACAAGCCACAAATACCGAACCTAAAAATAAGAAAATGAGAGACACACACGCAGGTGGTCTAGAGCCTCACATACACAAATGAAAAAAAATCAAGAGTTTATAGCTTCTTTCCACTGCTAAAAGCCTAGAAACAGAAAGCTATACTCAAAGAAAGAACAAAGACTAAAAACAGCAACTACCAACAACAAGAAAACCAAAAGAAAATACAAAAAACAACAACAACTACGCAATAGCTAAAGAGAAGTCCATCCAATCTTTATGAGCCATTTTCAGAAGAGCTTGCACCGGGATTAGTATCTTTTGGAAAAGCCAAAGATTTCGTGACTTCCAAAGCCACCAAAGCATATAAGTTGTCAGCTGGATTCTTGCCTCGGCAACTTCAGAAGTGCAAATGGAACACACTTGGTACCACCATGATTTGAAGGAGTCGGTGTGGCTGGAGATTCCATCCCATTGGACTGTAGATAGTTCCCACATTCTCTGAGCCCTTGAGCAAATAAAGAATAGATGTTCCACAGTTTCTGTACCAACTCCACAAACAGAACAAGTGATATCCACTTCCATTTTCCTCCTTCTCAAATGAGTGGCTGCAGGGAGAATGTTTGTCAAACATTTCCATAGAAAGTGCTTGAGTTTGGCAGGGACTTTTAACTTCCAGAATCTGTACTGGATTGATTTGTTCAAGTTAGCATGAGAGCTACTTTCAGGGGTATCCATCTGCCTGAGCTTGAGTGAAGAAAGATGATCATATGTGCTGGCCACTGTGAAATGGCCTTTCTTTTCAAGACCCCAGTAAAGCCTGTCAGGTCTAGTTGGATTCAGAGAGGAAATATTAAGTATAGATTTGCTGTCCTCTTCATCAAAGACCTGCCTTACCAACCAGTCATTCCAATGAGTGCCATTGCTATGCATTAAGTCTCTAACCCAGATTAAGTGATCTCTAGCTAATGGCATAATCACAGGGGTTAACTTATTCAGATTTGGCACCCAGTTAAAGTCAGAAATCATTGTACTAGCCCCATTTCTGATTTCAGTTTTCAAACATTTAGCAAATATAGGCATGATATCCATCCAACAATTCCACATCCAGGATCCTCCTTGAGTTTTTGAAGCATGAGTGATAGCAAAGTGAGGGAAGTACCTGTCCTTAAGGACTCTACTGACCAGCAAATCCGGATTGGTAGCCACCCTCCATAGTTGTTTGCATATCAAAGCTTGATTGAAGAGCAGCAGGTCCTTGAAGCCAATGCCTCCATCCATCTTAGGCAGAGAGACAAAACTCCATTTCTTCCAGTGAATGCCTTTACTTTGCTGATCCCCTGATTTCCACCAGAATTGTGCACAAAGCTTGGATATTTCTGAACACAAAGTAAGAGGCAGTCTGAAGCAAGACATTGAGAAGATGGGCAGGGCTTGGATAACTGCTTTTAACAGGACCTCCTTTCCAGCTGGGGTGAGAAGTTTAGATTGCCAACTGATGAGTTTGCTTCTTACTGCATTGAGGATGTATTCAAATACTTCCTTCTTAGACTTTCCAATGCCAAGTGGAAGTCCTAAATAGCGGGTGGATCTGTGGGAGACAATGCCATTGAGGATTCTGCAGATGGAGGACTGTAAGGACTGTGGGGTGTTTCTGCTGAAAAAAATGGCTGATTTTTGCATGTTGACAGCTTGGCCTGTGAACAGCTTGTATTGGTTCAGGATATTTATAAGGGAGGCAGCTTGGTCAGTTCCTGCTTTGCAGAAGAAGAGGGAGTCATCTGCAAACAGGAGGTGAGAGAGTAATGGGCCATTTCTAGATATCCTCATGCCCTTAAGAGTTCCAGAGTCAATGGCATTAAGAATCAAAGCAGTCAGCAATTCAGCAACCATGATAAATAGGTAAGGGGAAAGGGGGTCCCCTTGCCTAATACCCCTTGAAGGTGTTACATAGCCACTGACATTTCCATTGATTTTGAAAGAATAGGTGGCAGTGGAAACACAAATCATAATCAGCTTCACAAAGTCTGGATGAAAACCCATCTGAAGCATAATTTTTTTTAAGCAAAGCCACTCTACTCTATCAAAAGCCTTCATGAGATCTAGCTTGAGAGCCATAAAATAATTGGGTCCAGAGGAATGCCTATTAAGGAAATGAAAGGCCTCCTGTGCAACTATAACATTATCTAAAAGCTGTCTGCCCTCCACAAAAGCTGATTGAAAATCACTTATGCAAGTACTGAGGCAAACTTTCAGTCTTTGAGCCAGCAATTTAGATATAATCTTATACACAACACTGCACAAGCTGATAGGCCTAAACTGCCCTAAAGTATCTGGATTCTGACACTTTGGAATAAGAGAAATGATAGTGTGATTCCAATAAGAAAGAAGCATACCAGATTGGAAAAAACTTAGGATAGCAGCCATAAGATCCTTCTTGATAATGCTCCAGAAATGCTGATAGAAGATTGCAGTCATCCCATCCTCACCAGGGGCTTTGTCAGATTGCAAACTGAATAATGCCTCTTTGACTTCTTGTTCATCTGCTGGTTTGAGCAAAGCTGTGTTCATGTCAGAGGTTATTGACTGGGGAATTAGATGAAGGATTGAGTCTCCACCCCAGCAACCATCTGATGAGAAAAGCTTGGAATAATAGTCAGCAATGTGGCCTTCAATATCTTTCTGTGATGAGTAGGTAATTCCCAGTGGGCAGGTTAGTCTGGTGATAGCATTTTGTCTTCTCCTGTGGAGGGTAAGAGCATGGAAAAATCGAGTGTTGGAATCTCCCTCCTTAAGCCATTTCAACCTTGCCTTCTGCTGCCAGTAAAGCTCTTCTTGCAGATGAGCTTTGTTTAAATCTCTTCTTGTCTTGTCCCAATCCTCCCAATTTATCCCAGATTTATCCTTGTTCAGCATCTCAAACTTTTGGTTAAGGTCAGCAATCAGAGTTTGGTTTTGAGATTGAAAAGAGGAACTCCAGATTAGAAGGGCAATTCTTGTCAATTTGATTTTCTCCTTGAGTTGAAAAAAGGGGGTTCCAGTGACTTCTGTTGACCAGGCTTGTTGAACTACATCCACTAGCCCCGGTTTGCCGATCCATCTTCTGTCAAAATGAAATCTACCCTTTCTCTTCTCCCTTGGTAGTCCCAAATCAAGAATCAAAGCTGAGTGGTCTGAAGAGCTTCTGATAACATTGGTGATAAGAGCATTGGGGTATCTCTGAAGCCAGTCACTTGACCCAAAAGCTCTATCCAAATATTCTTCTACTAGATCTGCAGATATCCTGTTATTACTCCAAGTGAAGGGGTAGCCATCCATTCTGATTTCCTCCATCTCCATCATACTTATAAAGGTGTTGAAACCATGGAAACTGTTAGGACTTCTAGGGGTTCCTCCTGATTTGTCAGAGTTGGAGCATAAGTCATTCCAGTCTCCCATGATGAACCAGCTACCATTCCACTTAGATTTCTCTTGCAGTAATTCCTCCCATTGATGAGCTCTGGTGGTTCTGCAAGTACTAAGGTATACAAAAATGCCCCACTGAGGGGGTTGAGAGTGAACTATAAATTGAACAGCAATAAAGAAATTTTTACAAATCACTTGCTTAATATCAACTTGATCATCCCAAAACAAAACAAGGCCCCCACTAATGCCTACAGGATCAACTACTACTAATCTATCCCCAAATCCTACTTTCCTACTAATAGAATTAATAAATTTTTTTTGTTTTTTTGTTTCTGAGAGAAAAAGAAACAGAGGGTGATGAGTCTTGATCAACTCTCGCATTTGGGAAATTGTAGAGGGCCCACCCAGCCCTCTACAATTCCACACCACAGCTAACATTTATCACTGTGGTGCCATTCATGGCTGGCATCCCCCACCTTGTCAGAAATGAGTTTCAGTTTTTTGATGTCACCTGATGTCTGAGATTGATCCTGCTGTTGGTGAGATGAAGCTTCAATGTCTGTCCTTGATCTTTTCTCTCTGGGAACAATGACATTGGTGACAGTAAGTTCTTGAGAGTTGGATTCCCTTTGTAATCTCCCTTTGTTGCTTGCAGTTCTTCTCCATGTTTTGAGTGGAACTATCTGAATAGCCTTTGAGGGTGGAAGAGTGATGTTTGGTTTTGTTATGTGCTCCGCAAACTCCACAATCTCCATATCCTGGACTTTAGCTGGCTCAGCACTTTGCATACTTGATTCTGCAACAGCTCCTACTTGAGTTGGGGTAGGTATTATATTGTGAGTGGCTGAGGACAGAGAGGTAGGTGACTGCATTGTTGCTGCTGGAGATGAATCATCTGGGAGCTGAATAATCTGTTTGCCCTTATTAACTTGACTTGAGGATGATTTTTGAGGGGTAGTGTGCTCTGTCATAGATGGACCTTCTGGTTGTGGGGAGCCTCTGGAGCCTGAGTGACTAATAGTAATTAACCTTTGACCTTCATTAGCTCTGAGCCAATCCCCATATTGGCCTTCCCTAACCGAGTTAGTTCTGATGTCTTCCTGTCTTTTGGAGCAACTTCTGTCTAAATGTCCTATATGACCACAGTAATGGCAAAGATTCAGAAGTTTTTCATATTTGAAACCAACCTTCACAATTTGTTCTCCCAATCTGATGTTTGCCACTCTAGGAATTGGTTCTTCCAAGTTGAGAGTTACCAACAGCCTAAGGATTTTCCCTCCATGATTGCCAGCATTAGCTATAACCACATTCTGTAGACTTTTGAAAACTGAGGCAATCTTGATTCCTACTTCAGTACTTAACCAATCTAAAGGTAAATTGGTGACTTGCACCCATAGGTTCAGCTCCTTGAAGCAGGGATGCTTACTGGTCAGGTTTGTAGTCCACTCCTTGAGCACGATGTACTGATTCTCAAAACTCCAGTTTGTGCCGCTGGCTACTTTCTTCATATCATCTCTACTTTGAAAAATAAATTGGAAATAATTGGGACTTAGCTCCTTAACTTCCATGGGTTGATTAAGTCTCCAAATGTGACTCATTGTTCTCTTGACACCAAGCCAACCCGCTGTTCTGTCTCCGACTACTTTGCCAAAGAGGCTTCGGTTGCACTCATCTGCACTCATCTTGATATCCCCCTGTGCTATGTCGATAAGTGTTGCCTCCTTTTCTGAAAGAGTAAAATCCTTCAATTGATTCGAAATTTCATCTTCTGCGGCATCACTAGGACTGGTAGCCATAGATTCAGATTAGGGCAACCCGAATTGTCAAAATTAGGATCAAACTGCTCGAAACTTAGAGGAGAGTAAGGAATTAGGGTGATTGAAGAGTGAAATCCATTAGGAAAAGAGAAAAGAGATACCAATTGGTTAGCTCCCAAAGAGAGAATACGATTTGCTCCCAAAGAGAATTAATTAAGAAAAATTTTGCAATACTATTGATTAATTGGTCTCAAACTGGTACGAATGTTTTTTTATGAGAACGTCAAAATGAAATGAAAGAAAAATACCTTTGAATCATTTAATATAAATAAATTAAAAACCAAAACTACCTTTGAATCATTTAACATAAATAAATTAAAAACTCATTTAATCTATAATATAAATTAGGTTCTTATTTAATTATTTAATATTTTTATTCATTAGGGACTCATTTTTTATATTTTTGTTTTGTAATATATTATTTCATTCTTTTTATATTAGGGTATCATTAGGTTAATTTGCAAAAGAAAAAAAAAATACATTAAGAGCTCATTGTTTCTATATTTTATTTTGTTCTTGCAATAATACGTAATAAATTTGTCTAACTAAATTTAATTGACCAAAAGCATTCACCATTACACCGGACAAGTGCTTTACTAATAGCTAGGAAAGAAAACATTAATTAATAATTTGTACGTACAGTTATGAAACGACTAGTAAATAATAAAGTGTACGTACAGTTTAGATGGGCGATATACGACAAATATATTAAAAAAAAGAACAGAACGAACAAGTTTTTGGGGCAAAAAAAAATGCGATTTGGGCCAAGTAATACTAGCTAATGACATTATTTTATATTGAATTTGATATCACGCCCAAATCTGGTGTTGGATTTGCTGTGCCGAAAACGTGGAAAATAATCTAATCTACCTTGAACCTGCTGGTAGTCTCATAGGGAATAGTGATATATACAATTATCCTTTAATTATGCCCTCATAATATTATAATAATCACTAGCTATCATGACAGAATATATTTTGAAAACAGCCTAAAATCCATAGCTTACAACCTCCAAGGTTTCAAATCAACCTCATGATTTCAACTTCGATATTTGAATTATTGTACTGATCGTTCAGTTCAGTTATATTGATTTCGAATTTGAAATTTGGTTTCGCCATTGTAGGATATGCTAATGCTTTGAACATTTTAGTTGTAATAAGTGTGAACAAAACGTTGCTGCGCTTTCTTTAGTGTGTTGCGTTTCTTTTTCAATACGACGTCGTCTTAGGTGGTGAATAAGTAATAGGTCAGACGACGTCGTTTTAAGTAGATTAGGGGCTTTTCATCATCTTCCTTATGAGCGATATAAATGAGTGCATGTTCTGTACGTAAGAGAGTGATTTTACTGAAGTGAAATAAAAATATCTTTTACTAAAATTGATTTGTTAGCTCAAGTTTCTTCAGCCATTGATTTGGTTGATAATGGAGTTAGATATTGCAGTTTTCGTAACGCGTGTTTGTATACAAAATAATTCTAACTCACAATCAATTTTATATATTTTAATTTAATTTCAATATTCTCAATACTACAAATATAATTAAATTGTATCAATCAATAATTCTTACACGTAATATCAACTTTAATTAATTATTCATTAACTTAGATAATTATAACTAACCATTTCTTCACATCATCTTATTTTTACATCAAATTAATTTTAATTATTTTTTTTAAATATTATTTTAATATAAATTTAAAATTCCATTAACAAATAACCGCACTCAATTTTTTAAAAATAATCATTATTAACCTAAAAAACTTATTTAAGCGGATATATTTCAATATTGGAGTTGAAATTGCATAAGAAAGATTTTTCTCAAGCTATTTCAATATTAGATCCTAGAAACTACTACGTCAAAATGGTGATAATTCTTGGTAATAACAGCTATAGTTTTCACTAATGGTATTTTATAATATTAAAATATATAATTCCCTATGACCCACCTAGCTATTTTGTATTGTAGTGGTAGCAATGTCAGATTGTTTTTTTTTTTTGCCGTATTGTTGAAACTAAAACAGGTCGTAGCAGTGCATCTTATCTATCCATAGTTTTCAGAGACTGAAACTATTGTTCCCATCACTGTCAGTTGCCATCAATTTGCCTGCCGCCCTCTCAATATCAATACAAAAATCCAAAAAATTAAATCACACTGCATTTTGATTTCAACTACTGGAANCACTTAACTTAAAAAAGTTTCCTTAACTTACAAGACATGACAACCACAAACCAAAAAGGACTGGAAAGAAAGAAAAAAAACTTATCATCACCCCATTTTAGCCTTCCTTGTTTCTACATGACTAACTTCACTACACCCATAAGTACCGGAATCATTCGCTTGTCGTTCAAGAAAAATAAAAACGAAAAAGAGCCCATCACATCACATGAGAGGACTATTCAGAAGCCCATGCCAAGTAGACGAGGCAAAGGCCCGGCCCGAATCAAGTTCTGGCCCATTTCCATCCCCACTCACTCCCTGCCATGTGAAACCCAACAATCCCTTGTTGTCTGGCTTAATCCCTCCTCCAAATCCTCCAAACTGGTCTAACGAAAACCCCATCTCCATCTCCATCCCTCCATAGTACACATTGTGGAGCCCACCATCACAGGGTTGAAAAAGGTGGGGGGAGAGGCCGTTGAGGTTGGGATTATGATTATGATCGACGGCCGTCTGTTTGGTGAGGCGGGTGATGATGTCAGCATCGGGGTCGTATGACATGGGCAGCAATGGGTTGTGGTCAAACAGTGTGGTCGTCTTCTTGGATGATGATAATGATGAGCGTTTGGTGTTCTTGCGGCATCCGCCGCCAACAGGGACGTTGCGGAGGGTGCCGCCTTTGGTCCAATAGCGGCGGCACGACTTGCAGAAGTAGCGCGGCTGCGAGAGACTGTAGTTGTTGTAGTAGCAGAACTTGGTGTTGGTAGACTCGCAGCGCGGGCATTTCAAGGCCTGCATGTCTGCCGGTCGACACTTCTTCTCTGCCTTCACGCACCCTACCATGCTTTCGAGTGTCTGCGAATCAATTTCGTCATACTTTTTTATTCTTCTATTTTTTTATTTTATTTTTTTTCAAATTTATAGGTGAGATTGATCAAGGGCCGGAGAATACAAGATGAATTTCACAATTATTTATTCCGACTACAGTCCTGTCATAGAACCATTTCATCTGGGTTTTTTTTTTAACCGTAGATTACTGGTTTCGTAACTGTAGTATTTTTAATTTCCTCATAAAGGATAATGGATATTGATTAGATAAGAAATTGTTGCATTAAAATCTAAATTTGTTGTTTTTGGTTATTTGAAAATATCAAAAATATAATCAATTATGTGGTGGATAAAAAGAGATCAAGGCAAGGAGTATGTGAGACTTAAGGATTTTACATTCCACTAAGCATATATGTTCTAGCTTCAAGTTTTTTATTTACATATACATACTTTAGAAAAGCATATATGTTCTAGCTTCAAGTTTTTTATTTACATATACATACTTTAGAAAATATTTTATTTTGCTTAACAGNAATAATAATAATAATAATAATAATAATAATAATAATAATAATAATAATAATAATAATAATAATAATAAAAACATTACATTTCAAGAGAATAATGCTTTCTTTAATTTTCAATTATGTTTCATATGGAAAGATTTCCTATTCAATCAAAAGTTTCCATTTGGAAACATGAAGGTATCGATTTTGTGTCGATGAAAACTAGTTGTTCAGAGTTTGAACCATAACTCTGATCAACATATTGAACTGAACCCCCCAAAACGGAAATATCAAAGCTCTCAAACCCTTTCCCCATCATTTCTTTCATTTATGCCCTAAAAAATAAGTCCATTTACATTCAAGAATTCCAAATTGGTTATTTCCCAAAAGAAATTAAATAAATAAATAAACACACACACGCACACGCACATTTTGATGTTCATCCCAAAAGCTAAGATTAGAAACTAAAGAAAAGATAAATTTATCAAGGAGAATAAAAGAGACCCAGAAAAATTACACAACAAATGCTCTCAAATTACCATCATATCATCTACACAAGGAAAGACACAACAATAAAATTTAATTAAAAACAAACAAAATTAATCAATGGAGGTGTAGTATGAAATACCCACCTGGTGATTGTGTTGTTCAGTTGGAGCCTCCATCACATTCAATAATTTATTTCTTCCTACCTCAACTTCTAAATGGTTTCTCACAACTCAGACAATAGTAACGAGAAGAAAATATGTGTATCTATATATATGAGGAAGAATTCTCAGAGAAAAAACCCAGTTTAATAAGTATTTATTATGAATCACAAGGGCAGCTACTATATCTATACCTATGTGCTTGTTATATAAGTGGAGGAACATTTAAAGAGAGAGAATCAAAGACAAGGTGGATGGATGGAGAGAGAGAGAAGAAAAGGGGTGAGCGTAATGATTACAAGATTGTACTCGGCATATGTGTAAGTATATGATGCAGTTGGCACGCAAGAACCCAAATAATTTATTATTATCTTTTCCATAAAACAAAAAAGTACTTATAAACCAATTTAAAATCGTAAAGCAAATCCCGTTCAGACATACATTCAATCTTACGTAGTACACACACAGCACAGGTGAGAGAGAGAGAGAGAGAGAGAGAGAGAGAGAGTACAGACTGAATGGACACAGAAATTTTCCATATCGCCGGTGGGCCCCAGCGGCGTGGGGGGTTTGCTACTGTGCGGTGGCCCACATCCGCTCACATCCCAACGACTCGGTGGGGCCCACTCGTTGGAAGGGCGGTTTTGCAGTTTCAATTTATTCGTGCCAAAAGCGTCTCAATTCTTTCTTCCTTAACTAAATTAAATTCCTTGAAAAATGATTTTTCTACTTGTTTAGTTGGTTTTGAGATATTGTTTCAATCAAATTGTCTGTCAGGATTGTAATATACTGTTGGGGGAAATTGTCAAGTAGTGGTCAAGTTAGTTTTTATTTGTCAATATATGAAAGTACTCAATCTTAAGTCTTCTTTTTTAAATATATAATAATTCAGAATTATATGACATTAAAAAAAAAAAAGACGACTGGGTCAATGGGTCGAAGGGAGATTGAAGATTTCACAGGTCTAAGGATAGAAAAGGGTGAGTTATGAGCAAAAAAGCATATTTCTATGTAGTTATGCCGTATCAGCGTCTAGTCGATAAGATTTGTAAGGAGTAATTTGGGCGAAACATGGCGGTCTAATACTAGTAAAGAGCAAGGAAGAAGGTGAACATGTGGTTGACTTGAGGGATACATTTACCACTTTGCGGAAGTTTGGTATTAAACTCAATCCTGCTAAGTGCTCATTCGTGGTGAAGTCAAGCAAGTTTATCGGGTATATGATGAGCGAAAAAGGAATCGAGGTGAACCCAGAAATAGTACGAGCTGTAATGGAAATGCAACCCCCAAGAGTGTGAAGGAGGTCCAAATTCTGATTGGTCGAATTGCAGGTCTTAGTAGATTTATTTCAAAGGTAGCCGAGAGGAGAAGTCCTTTATTCAGAACCTTGAAGAAGAGCTCAAAATTCCAATGGTTGAGTGAGGCCCAGAAAGCTGTTGAAGAAATGAAGGTCGTATTAGCGGACTTACCCTTGTTGGCTAAGCCAATTCATGGGGAGGACTTGGTCTTGTATATTTCGATCGGTACAATAACAGTCAGTTCGTTCTTGGTTCGAGAAGAGGGTGTGCGATGGAGATAAGGATATTTAGAATATTTAATCCAAAAGGAACTCGAATTTTTGGTGCAATCCCACAGGAATTGAGAGAATTCAATTTGACGAAAATAGTTTCATTAGCCCCCAATTTAATTATTTGTTTCCCTCTTTTATTATTATTAGTGGTATTATGGATTTGTTAGGAAACTTATTTTTTTATTAATTTTTTTAGAATTCTTGTCTTGTTGGACAAGTTAGTATTAGAGTTTTAGGAGCCTTATTTAAAGGATTCCTCCTCTTTTGTGTTATTCGGTTGATTATTGATAAAAATAACATTGGTTTGGCTTTATCGTGTTTGAGATTGAGATTTCATTCGTATCCTTCCCACTCATACGCTTCCACCTGTGGCGTCGATGGAGGACGAGTACCATGTGGTTGTAGAATCATCTGTGAGGCCAGAGGCTGTGCCTGGAATGGATGCTTTCAATGAATTGGAAGATGGATTTTCATGGTCTTTTATTCAACAAGCAAACGTGTCTGATAACTCGCATTGTGTGCAGAAAAAGGACAAAGTGTGTTGAAGTAATTTTTACCGGAGTAGAATCAAAAGATTCGAACACCGGGTCGTGTCTCAAGGAAGGTCAGCCGGATTATCTTGTACGTATATTCAATCACAAAAAGAGAAATTAAATCCTAAACACTCTAATTCAATTGGTTGGATTTGATTATCAACTACGAGATTAACCACGAAAAATTCTCAAACAAGGCAATTCTGATCTTACAACACAAAGAACAATTCAAATAATGATAAAAGGGACTAGGGTGTCGGGGACAATCGTTTTCGGTTCTCAATACATTAAGTAACAATCAATCACTCGGCTAAAGATCACGAAATACTCACTCATTCAGAGATTCATTCTCAATAACTCACGTAACAAGAGAATAAACGTAAATGAACAATAATCGAATCAATTAGCACATAGACAATACGTCTCCGAACAAGTTTATTCTAAACGAGCCTAGATCAATCAATTCCTCCCCTTTCGGTTCTAAGAATCGATTAAGTTGATTAAAATGGTGATCAATCAATTCAATCCTAGGTTTAACACAACTCGAATAGATTGAGCAATTCATTAATCACACAAACGAAATTGAACCAATCAGAACAAACGTAAATGATCAATAATCGAATCAATTAGCACATAGACAATACGTCTCCGAACAAGTTTATTCTAAACGAGCCTAGATCAATCAATTCCTCCCCTTTCGGTTCTAAGAATCGATTAAGTTGATTAAAATGGTGATCAATCAATTCAATCCTAGGTTTAACACAACTCGAATAGATTGAGCAATTCATTAATCACACAATCGTTTTTGGTTCTCAATACATTAAGTAACAATCAATCACTCGGCTAAAGACCACGAAATACTCACTCATTCAGAGATTCATTCTCAATAACTCACGTAACAAGAGAATAAACGTAAATGAATAATAATCGAATCAATTAGCACATAGACAATACGTCTCCGAACAAGTTTATTCTAAACGAGCCTAGATCGATCAATTCCTCCCCTTTCGGTTCTAAGAATCGATTAAGTTGATTAAAATGGTGATCAATCAATTCAATCCTAGGTTTAACACAACTCGAATAGATTGAGAAATTCATTAATCACACAAACGAAATCGAACCGGAACAATTATCCCCTAGCCCTAGTTAACGAATTTAGCTACTCATCATCAATTCAACATCAACATCAATATCAATCAAAGCCATCATCATCACAGATAAAATGAAATAGAAAGCTTACGATTAAATATGAATCCAATGTCGAAAAACAACGAACAATCCAAATCCACAAGTTGAATCTTGGTGTTTTCACAATCCAAGATCGAATCCCAATCAAAACTAAGAGAAAAATGAGTTATGGAGTGAAAAAGTACGAGAGAGTATCAAAAACCTAGAAGTAACATCCTTAAAATCGGATCTAAAATCCGTATTTATTTTTTTGCACGTCGCGACCTCCGCGGCCGCGACCACTCCTCCGCGGCCGCGGTGAAGAAAGCTCGCGGCCGCGACCATCCCCGAGGCCGCGACATCATCTGGGCAGAAGTGCGAATTTTGATACCCTTGCGGCCGCGACGACTAAAACTGGGCCGATGGATTTTTTGTTCACCGCGGCCATGACGACACCCGAGGCCGCGACATCTTCATGACAGAAAAGGGACCGTCGGGAACCTCGCGGCCGCGACCTCACCTCCGCAGCCGCGGTGAAGGATTTCCTGCACAGCCTAAAACGTTCTCGGGTTCGTGTTCTCGCATCCGGACT